GGGCCCATCCAAACAGGATGTTTTACACCTGCTCCCGCTGCTGGCGCTCTCTAGCGGTGAGAGGAGGAGAGTAGCTTTGGACTTCTCAGGCCTGGGTGAGTTTTCTCAGCTCAGGATCACTGGTGCTGTGGCCAAAATTACCTGGACTTGAACAATCAGAATCTCTTTTTCCTTAAGTCGCCTATTTGTGATAGTTACTCAATTATTAGTCTTAAAATAATTGAGTAAATGGTGGCTACTTGATAGGTCCTAAAAATGTAAAATATTAGATTTTATTGTTAAAAAAACCAAACAGGCAGACCTCCTCCTAGAACTTAATGTGTGCTTTATTTATACACCAGATATTTTATCCTACTCTGCTGTAGGATAAAATACTCTGCATTCTTTTTGCACATCTCTTTTAATCTGGGCATTCTCAAATATATTTGGAAACAGGTTATCACTGTTATCACTGTGCCCATCTTCCAACGTGGAAACTGCTAGCAATTTGATTAGGAAGTCACGGTGACTCTCCCAGGGCTTATAGTCACTGTATTTAGTATATAGTATTTGACCTTTTAAAGCAAAAGTCAGGTGCTCTTCTGTGCTTCCTTCCCCAAAAGGCTACCACTACCTTGAAAACTGTGCTGCTACCCCAGAAAGAACTTAAGAGTTGTTAAAGACAAAGAAAGGACATTTCTTAAGTCAAGAAAATAAAGCTTCTCCTTTTGGATGCCAGTAGGAAACAATCTTGAACTTCATAGTGGGCAGAAAGCTTAGTTCCTTTGATTACACAACAACTTCTTCCACTCCTGGGCAATGTATCAAAGCCTCAGCAATAACATTGTAAGTGTTTTGACTTCTTTTAAATATCCCCATTGTGTTCAGGCTTATTCCCAACCTCACACCACTGACATTTCAGGTGGGATACTTAGTAGGGAAGGGCTGCCCCGTGCATTGCAGTATGTGCAGCAGGATCCCTGGCTTCAACACACAAGATGCCAGTAGCACCCTTCCCCCCCCCATTGTGATAATGCAGAATGTCTTAAGACATTGCCAAATAACTCTGGCGGAAGTGGGAAGAGGGCAAAATTGTGCCTGGTTTGAGAACCACTGGTGTAGGCTAATTAGCATATGTATCCTCACATAAATGTACCTATGCAGGTCAATAAAAAACAGAAAGGTAGTTTCAATTGTTAAAACTAGCTAACTCTGTTCCATTGGCCTCATAAAGTGTCTTATTAACATAAATCCAATTAAATTTAGATGTGTTTAAAGGCTGATCATAACCAGAAACTCACACAAAGACATTTACATTTCCAAAATGTAACATTTATTCTTTTCAAAGTTTCTGTTCAAGCATATTCAGTTTATTATCCAACTAGCCCAAAACAATTTAAGAAACAAAGCAGATTCCACTTTATTTCTACTGTGTTTCACGTGACACCAAGGATGACAGTTTGGATTGTGTTGTGACACATTAGACAAGCCCATTAGAATAATGACACCCTGCATTTATGTGGTGCTTTTCAGTTTACAAAGCACTTTCACATACCTTACCTATTTTGATTTTGATAATAATCTTATGAGATTGACAGGGAAAAATTAATATCCTCACTTTAAAGGTGAGGAAACTGAGTCTCAGAAAGGTAATGTGGTGACCCAAAGTCATTCTGTCATTGGCAGGCCAAGGACCAGGGTCCAAGCATCCTGACTCCTAATTCAGGCTGATTTTACACTAGTATAAAACCTCACACTTTGAAATTTTAAAGTATAGTCCTTCGAAAGTGTTAGTTACTTCATTTAGAAATTCATTCTCTGGCTTAAACATTCAGAACTGCATAAACATGCTGAAATTGTAAACAAATTAAAAAGAGATCATGGGGACTTCCCTGGTGGCACAGTGGTTGAGAATCCTCCTGCCAATGCAGGGGACATGGGTTCGAGCCCTGGTCCAGGAAGATCCCACATGCCGTGGAGCAGCTGAGCCTATGCGCTACCACAATGAGAAGCCCCGCCCATAGCAACGAAGACCCAATGCAGACAAAAATAAGTAAATAAAATGAATAAGTTTAAAAAAAATCATGTTTTTGTCAGAAAACTAGCTGGGTGACTCAGTGTGCAGTGATATTGAATACAAGGATGGCATTTTGCACAGTCACTTTGCTAATTACAACCACATTTAAACCGATAAAGCTTACTTTTCCAAAAATTGGGTATGCATTGTTTTGATTATGTCAACTCCCAACCATCAGATCTCTGATGAAACAGGTTCTAACCAATGTTCTTTTGAAATCAAGGTTAGCAACCTTAGAACTTAAAAACAAAAAAAGGAACCAAAAAAAAAATTAAAAACACACACACACACACACACACATCTATTTGGGTAAATATCTTCCCTACTTGCGTGGAAATTTTCTTTTTTTTTCTTTCTGTCTTTTTTTTTCTTTTTAAGAGGAGTAGCTTATAGAGACAATCAAATGTAAAATTAAAAAAATCTTCCCACTCCACAGGTACTATAGGTTTGCGAACTCTGGCATTCCCAGAATCAGAGAATTTTGAAAAGCCAGGATAGAAACACTACGTCAAAGACAAAAACATTTAAAAACTACATCAAAGACAAAAACATTTAAAAACTACTACCTGAGTCTTCACATTTGGAAAAATCTACAGAAAGTAGTTCAGTATTGCTTTGGAATAAGGAATTTAAACATGAGTCAGAACGCAGGCCACTTTAATCGGTTGTTAATTGCAGCTCTGCCCTTCAATAAAGAGTAGCTATCCACTGTGCTAAGCTATTCTAGGCCCATGCAGCAATTAATTCAGGTGCCAGGGTTCCCAGGAGCACTTCTGAAATTTCTGCCCACAAAGGGCCCCAACTTTTATATGAGCTGTAAGTGAAGTAGATCACAAACGTATTTCCTCAGAACCCCAAGCACTGCCCACACTCCTCCCCAAAGAACACAGGACAGGCAGTCTACGTCCTGGTCTTACTGAAACACAGAACAGGCCTTGAGGAACGCCCACCTACCAAAGCCAAATTCAATGATGCTGGTTAGAATAAAGGAAACTGGTCCTTTACTAGGATTTCTTTTTCATCATTGCTCCTCAGCATCAAGGAAGGTAAAGTTACTTTGTGCCTCTCAGTTACTGATTTTTTTTTTCCCTATGGAAAAGCTGAACATCAGTCAAGAGAGAACACATGATACTTAGTCAGCAGCAAATTGGAATTACTTCCCTGGCAGGCTTACCACTCAGAATTTAATGAGAAGAACCCGTTCAGGCACCAGACACAAAATGTTAACTAGCTGTCCTCAGAGAAGCCTGTGTCCCAAACTATCACAGGAAAGAGAGGCTAAGTTTTAGATCAGTTACTATGAGTCTCAGGTATATGAAGTTTACAAGCCAACTGGTATTTAAGGTAACATAAGAGTCTCAAATTTTACTATATGAATAAATATCTCTATTACAGTTAAAATTTAGAGTCTGACTGATGAAGGTTCTAGGCAAACAGTATCTAAATCACAGGTGAGACCAATATTGGCTTTTGATCTCACTAGCAGTAAGTAAAAAGTCTTTATAAAGCACTTCTGCATATTTGTGGCATAGCAAAATGTCATTGATTAAGGACCCCTCAACAGAGTGAGATTTGCTATTCCATTTTTTTTAAAACTAGCTTTTGGACTTCCCTGGTGGCACAGTGGTTAAGAGTCCGCCTGTCAATGCAGGGGGCACGGGTTCGAGCCCTGGTCCGGGAAGATCACACATGCCGCGAAGCAACTAAGCCCGTGCGCCACAACTACTGAGCCTGCGCTCTAGAGCCTGCGCTCTAGAGCCCGTGCTCCACAACAAAAGAAGCCACCGCAATGAGAAGACCGCGCACCGCAACGAAGAGTAGCCCCCGCTCGCTGCAACTAGAGAAAGCCCGTGCACAGCAACGAAGACCCAACACAGCCAAAAATAAATAAATAAAATAAATAAATTTAAATAAATAAATAAAAATTAAAAAGTATTGGTGACTTACAAAAGAAAAGCATGTCTTAAAAAAACCCAAAAAACTAGCTTTTGGGGTCAATCTATCAAGGAATGCTCCTTCTTTTCTGCTTCTTATGTAACCGGGTGAGGCACCACGTAATATTTCTAAGCTCAAAACATTCAAGACCCATCATCAAACTTCTCCCAAGAATATGAAGTAAATGCTGATTCTAAGTATAACACCCACACATTATTAACTTAGGAAAGAGCTCCAATCTCCCATAGATCAAGGATGAGGCATAGCCATCAAAGGAATGAAAGACTCTCCTCTAGGGATTCAAAGTCAATGTCTGAAAAGGAGACTATTGTGGAGCAATAAATTTTTATTATTAAACTTTAACTTTTATGGAAACAATTTCCTAGTATGAAAGATTAACTTGGGGCAAATGAGTCAGAATTTTGGAAGCTGGTGAAAATTTTCTCTCATGCTCTGTGCCAAGAGGTCAATTTTCATTGCTATCATTTTCTTCAGAACTAAATGAGCCTTTCTTCCATTCCCTTTCCAGAATCCTAGAAACAGACTGGGTCACTGAGGTCCAACTGTCCTCATTGTCCAGCAACCCAACTCCCAGGAGTCACTTTACAAATATTCCACGGTATCTGGAATAGGAATCGCTAAGGGGAGGGCATGAAGCCTAAGGCGTGGCCTCAAGCCCTGTGTCCCTGAGCTCTTACTCCTCAAAGCGCATGCATTTTCGTGCTTTGATTTGAGCAACTCACAATCCAGAATAAATGCTCAAACATGTTTGAAAAGCCTCCCCACCCCCGCCTCGGCTAGGCCTCTGCACCCTGGGACCAACATTCTGCCACACCCCACATATCCCCGGCACAGATGTGAGATCGTTAATGCCCAAATCTGGACAGGGATGAGTCACTGATTTGCAAAAACTGAGGGTGTACGGTCTTTGTCAAGCCGGGCACATGTCCACTCAGCCTTGGGGCAGCACCATTTTCTACGGGATCAGCATCCTGAGAGAGGCTGCAGCCCTTGACCCTGTTGGCCAGGTAGCAGGGCGCATTCCCATCCCACAGCAAGATCAAGTGGTCGACAGCCAAGTCAGGGGTCGTGGAGCTGCCCGACAGAGTCCGGGAGCAGTACCCTCTGTGGACTGGGGGCAGGAAGGCCTGCTTCCTCCCGCCCAGCTGGAGCGCGCGGCTGGGGTGATGCGCGCGCGCCCGCCGCTCACCGCCGGCGGCCCTGGGCGGCCGACGACGGGAGGGCGCGACGCCGGGGCTGAGCCTCCCAGTCGCCTCAGAGGGTAACACACCCGTCCGCCTCGAGTAAATGCAGGTGAGTCCTTGTAAGGCGTTGCTAACTTTCCCCGAGTCTCAGACTCCACTCTCCCTTCTCGGCGACCCCCTCCCGCGGGCCTCCGGGAAGTCAAGCCCCGGCCGCGCACCGAGCAGCGCCCGGGCGCCCTCGCCCTGACAGGCTCAGCCGCCAGCAAGCCCGTGTGCGCCCCAGTCCCGGCGCCCCGCGCCACTCACCCGACGCCTCGGCACTAGCTCGCGTGCTGCGGGTGTGGCTTCGGCAGAGGTGCTGTCGTCCTGGCTGGGCGGCGGCCGGCTCCGCGCCTCAAATACGCCGGGCCAGGCCCGCCTTTCCCGGGGCGGGGCCGCCACCCCTGCCACCCACGGCCTCGCTCTGCGGACCAGGCGGGGCGAGTCCCCGGCCTCGCTGGACACCCGGGCGCCCAGGCGCCGCGGTTCCAGGGCGCAGAGGAGACGCCTGACTCGGAACAGCGGCGGGTGGGACCCTGACCCGAGGCCTCCATCCCCGCAGCGTCCAGTCGGTCCCCTCCGCAGCCGCTGGAGATCGGGGTTCACCGCCCTCTCACCAGATTCACCTGCTAACTCCTCAGACCAAGATAGGGAGAGTCTGCGAAGCTTTTTGTGTGTGCTTCTTTGGGGAGTTTTGCTTGCTTACTTGCTTTAACCGTGTTTACTCTTTTTCTGCCTGAATCTCAGGCACTCTCAGCCCTTCTGCATTTACTTTACCTAAATCCCTTCTCAGCATCAAAGCCTTCGCACAGTGACTTGGGTCACAGTTTCCTGAGATGCTAGGTGAGACGCTCCATGTTCTTGGCCTTGCTTTCAGTCCCTTTATGAACTGTGACGTGGGTCCACACCTCAGACTAGGAGCCCTAAATTGTTTTGCTGTTTGCTCCCCACTGCATCCTTAGCATCTACCCTGTGTTTGGTAAATATTTGTTTAATGAATGAATGATTGAAATGGTGAATCACTTCCTATTGGGAAGAGTCCTGATAAAGGAGGGAAGAATTAAATAAAATAAAGCTATGGCTCCAAAAAGGTTGTTACAACAAGTAGTGATGCTTCCAAGAGAAATGGTATTTGTTTGGTAGCATTTAGCTGGGTAATAGCTGAGTGAAATGGCTAAGGATGTCAAAGATGAATTTCTTTTTAAGTTTAGACTCACAAAAATTAACTCGACTCACAGACATCGAAAACAAATTTATGGTTACCAACGGGGAAAGTGAGGGGGGGATAAATAGGAATTTGGGATTAACGGATACATACTACTATATATAAAATAAAAAACAAGGAACTACTGTATAGCACAGGGAACTATATTCAATATCTTGTAATACCTATAATGGAAAAGAATCTGAAAAATAATATATATATGACTGAATCACTTTGCTGTACATTGAACATTGTAAATCAACTATACTTCAAAAAAAAAAAAAAGATTAACTCAAAATGGATTAAAGACCTAAATGTAAGACCTGAAACTATAAAGCTCCTAGAGGAAAATGGGGGAAAACTCCTTGACATTGATTTTAGCCATGATTTTTTTGGATATGACACCAAAAGCACAAGCAATAAAAGCTCAGAGTAAACAAGTGGGAGTATATCAAACTAAAAAGCTTCTGCACAGGGACTTCACTGGTGGCGCAGTGGTTAAACATCTGCCTGCCAATGCAGGGGACACAGGTTCGATCCCTGGTCTGGGAAGATCCCACCTGCCGTGGAGCAACTAAGCCAGCGAGCCACAACTACAGAAGCCCATGCACTCTAGGGCCCGTGTTCCGCAACAAGAGAAGCCACCACAATGAGAAACCCGTGCACCGCGACTAAGGGTAGCTCCTGCTCGCCACAACTAGAGAAAGCCCGCGTGCAGAAACAAAGACCAAATGCAGCCAATATATAAATAAAAAGCTTCTGCACAGCAAAGGAAACTATCAACAAAGCGAAAAGGCAACCTACAGAATTGGAGAAAATATTTGCAAATCATATATCCAAAGAGGAGGTTAATATCCAAAATATGTAAGGAATTCATTCATACAACTCAATTACAAAAAAAAAAAATCTGATTAAAAAATGGGCAGAGGAACCAAACAGACACTTTTCCAGAGAAGATATACAAATGGCCAACAGGTACATGAAAAGGTGCTCAGCGTCACTAATCATCAGGGAAATGCCAATCAAACCCACAATGAAGTATCACCTCATGCCTGTTAGAATGGCTATTATCCAAAAAGACAAGAGATAAGTGTTGGAGACGATGTGGATGGAGAAAAGAGAACCTTTGTGTACTTTTAGTGGGAATGTAAATTGAAACAGTATGGAAGTTCCTCAAAAACTTAAAACTAGAACTACCATATGATCCAGCAATTGCACTTCTAGGTACATATCCAAAGGAAATCAGATCACTATCTTGAAGAGATATCTGCTCCCCCATGTTCATTGCAAAATTATTTATAATAGCCAAGACCTGAAAACAACCTAAGTGTCCGTGGATGAATGAATGGGATAAAGAAAATGTGAGATATATATCTATAGCTATATACTGTATCTATATCTATACACATTCATACACACACACACACAGTGAAATATTATTCAGTCATAAAAAATGGCAAGAAGGAAATCCTGCCATTTGTGACAACATGGATGAAACTTGAGGGCATTATGCTCAGTGAAGTAAGTCAGAGAAAGACAAATACCGAAATGATCTCACCCACATGTGGAATCTAAAAAAGTCGAACTCATAGAAACAGAAACATAGTTTGGTGGTTGCCAGAGGCTGGGGGATGAGAGAAATGGGGAGATATTGGTCAAAGGGCACAAACTTCCAGTTACAGGATGAATACGTTCTGGGATCTCATGTATAGCAAGGTGACTATAGTTAACAATACTTGAAAGTTGCTAAGAGAGTATATCTTAAATATTCTCATCTCACACACACACAGAAAGGTAACTACGTGAAGTGATGGATGTGGTAACTATTGTGGTAATCATTTCATATATATATATGTATATATATCCATTATATATAAATATATCTTATTTTATATGTATATGTAAATGAAGTTTAGATAATATTAACGGCTACTATTCATCAAGCACTTCTTATGTTCTTTGTATTATACCTAGTGCTTTACATGCATATATGGGGGGGAGGTAGGTATTTTTATCCCTATTTTAGAGATGAAAAAACTGAGGCATAGAGAATTAGATATGACCAAGATCACAACACAGATCAAGTTGAAAGTATGTCAGGGTCTAAGAAATAAGCCTTTGGAAATGGGATATGCTATTCCACAGATTGAAGCAAAGAATACACCAATGAACGATGGAAGGAAGGGAGGGAGGGAGGGAAAACGCCACTGCCAGCAGACCACCAAAAATTGGTAGATTTAGAAGTTGGAGGGGATCATTCAGAAAAGGAAAGAAGAATTGACCTCACCGTGAAATGATCTCTGAAAGAACAGAGGAGCAGACTTGCTCTTTTGATTCCAGTGTTTCAATTCTGAGGGACAGTTTTCTATCTTATAGTGGGATTCTGTGTCTGGCTGATAGCATATGTGAGAAAGCCTCTGTATTTGCTTGACCTGTGTCTGGGAGCTTTTGGGTTTTTGGCTAGAGGAGGAAGGGACTTGGTGCTAGACAATGGAGTAAGGACAGAGAACTAGGGAAGGGATGTCGAAACCAATTCCAGTCCAGCCTCTTTTGCTGGGCTGGAGCCCCAGGGAGAGAGGAATGGGGCCAGAAGCTGATGGGGCTGTCTTTGTGAAAGCTTTTTGAGAAGTGGCATCAAGGCCCAAGTGACAAAATACAGCTCTGGGGTATAAGGCATCTATCCTTTCCCCTTCTGCACACACCCCAGGACTTGCTGGCTCTTTGCAGATTTCCAGAGCAGACTCCCGGGACCGACGGCGTTCTCACCAGGAAGAACCACTGGCGCTGGGAGTTCCCTCATGTAGGTAATGGACATTTCCCAAGGGACGGGCAGAGGCTGCATCTGCCAGGGGCTGGGGTGGGGGATAGGGGAGTGAGGTGAGGTGGCCGGCGCACTGGTTTGTTAGCATGAGTAGAGTCCACACAGGTTACTTCTTTGGGGTGCACTGAGCAGGGGAGGGGCTGCGGAGGGCTCTGCTCTATGCCAGAACAGACTATGGGAGGCATAGTCCCACAGTGGGACAAAGGAGGCCTCGCTAGAACTGGCCAACTGGGAGTTGTGATGTAACTTGGTGATAGTTACATGTGTTCTGTGTTTTGGGCAATGAGTTCACTCAGTAAACCAAAGTGGAAAATGGAAATGTGGCCTCGTGGTGTAATCTCTGATACAATAGGATTGAAGGGTAGAAATTTATGAAAAGTCCAAATTACATTTTATGCCCGCAAAATATATTTAGATATATAAATATTTATCACTCCATGTATCCGTAAATAACTCTGAAAACTAAGATACATTAATGTTTTTAAAATGTATGATTCATGATGGACTGCAATGTCCCTATGAACTCCGACATTACATTAAGGTGACCCAGGTAGCCTGACAATGTTGCTTGCGTGGGCCTTATGATGTCAGAGAATGAAGGATATGTAATGTATAAAGCTGTATTGCCCCTAAGAAAGTTGAAGGAAGCCAACATTTATATTTGGAGTTTAACTCTGACTTCCCTCTTATTCTCCTCCCCTTGCTTACCCACTGGGGCCACAAGGGCCCCCACCTGTTCCATCCCTGCACACTCTGAGCTTAGCATCCTTGCCCGGCTGTCCCCATATGTGAAACTCTCTCCTCCCATTACTGACTCTGTCACCTCCTTCAAGTCTTTGCTCGAATGGCTCTTCTCCAGGAGTCTACTATTCAATATTTTAGCACCTTATTCAAAATTGCAGCTCAAAATTTCCCCAGTTCCTCGTGCTGCTGGTCCCCCTTTACCCTGCTCTAATTTTTCTTTTCTTCACGGTATTTATCAACTTCCAGCATGCTACAGAATTGATTTATTTCTTATATCTACTGTCTATTGTTGATTCCCCCTGACTTTCTTCTACTCCCCTCCCTGACCGCGGAGTTCTTTGCTGTATTATTCACTGATGAATCAAAGAGGCACATAGTAGGCACTCAACATTTGCTAAGTAAATAAATTCATAGTGTGAGCACTGGAGAAAAACCCTGTGGCTGTTTGATTTTATCACTTTCAGTGCTTTTCCCTCTTAGTTAACTATTTAATGCCTCTTAAAATGATTAAAATTTTAATAATGAAGAATTCAATTAATAGGTAGCTATGTTTGTAAAATACAAACAAAACAATAAAAAGCAAAAAAAAACTTTTTAAATTTTTTTGCGGTATGCGGGCCTCTCATTGCTGTGGCCTCTCCCGTTGCGGAGCACAGGCTCCAGACGCGCAGGCTCAGCGGCCATGGCTCACGGGCCCAGCCGCTCCGCAGCACGTGGGATCTTCCCGGACCGGGGCACGAACCCATGTCCTCTGCGTCGGCAGGTGGACTCTCAACCACTGCACCACCAGGGAAGCCCCTCCTTAGTACATTTTGCACAGGAAAGTCAAATTATGTATACTCTCCTTTTAACTTTGTCTTATCCTTTTGTTGGATGACATACATAAGTATTATCATCTCATTTTTACTGTCAGGGAAAGTGACAGTTATCCAAGCTCATCCATGTCTAGGAACAGAACAGAAGTCCTGACTTTTACAACTTATCTAGACAAACACGGAGCAGTGAATCCTTGCAGGGACTGGCCTATGTAAACTAGGGAGGAAACCAGGTATAATCTGGTTCCTAAATAATTCCTGTCCTCTGAAATAACCAAATAATTCATTGTGTAAAGATGAATTCTTTCATCCAGTTTTCTACCATAGGAGGGAAGTGTGCACATGAAGGACTCACTTGATGGAATTGGGAAGGTGTCTTGCATCCTTTAGGATGCATTTGAAAGTGCCTTAGTGGCTGGTACTGTTTTTTCATTGCTGTCCCCTCTAGGCTTATACATAGAAGTCACTGTATGATGGGGATTGTTTATGAAAATATAACCCCTTCTCTGAAGAGGGTGCCTGGCAACCAGCTGACTTGAAAGAATCATCCATAGTAAGTGACTAACCTATGAGTATTAAAAAGCAGTTACTGACAGGAAGGGCCTTTGCCTCTTCAGAAAATGCTGTAAATCTTAAGACTTTGAGTCATGAGGCCACAGGGCGAGGAGTGGCATCGCTGTCCTTAGAGGGCTAGCCTCTGGTAATAAGAAAAAGGGATGGCCAAAGCAGTTGTTATGGAGACAAGAGATGAGTCACCCTCTTGCCTTTCTTTCCAGTAATCCTCGGTCATTGCAGGGATAGATAAAGCTCATGCCCTTGCTACTTAGTGGGTTCATCATGTGCTCAGACATCTTTTTCGCTTCACTTCCTTAATTGCACATCCCCAAGCACCGCTTTTTGGTGTCAAATCCATGCCCCTTAGAGCTAACAAAAGGGTTTTGCTATGATTGGGTGTGCCTGGGAATTTATAATTTGTATACATGCAGTAAATGAGTCAACAGTACCCTACCCAAAGCCTATAAAACTCTTCCAAGATAAGTGTAAAAAGCAATCTAATAACATCAATAAAAATATCATTGAGTGACTACTATATACAAATCACTATGCTATTTGAAATAAGGGACAAGCCCAGTATTAGCCCTCGAGCAATAGCTGATTTCTACTGATAAAGAGATTTTTAGGATCCTGCCATGAAAGCAAGGACCCTGGGAGAGGCCTCTCACCAGGATGGGGAGGAGGAACTTTGAGGAAGCTGGTGGCATGCCAGAAGATCCTGAGGGCGTCTGGATGAGGGGAACTTTTGTTAGAGAGAGCCAGGGGAGAGTAGACAAAGAGGGGAGCAAAGAGGGTGAGTAAAGAAAAGAGAGAGGGCTTCCCTGGTGGCACAGTGGTTGAGAATCTGCCTGCCAATGCTAGGGGACACGGGTTCGAGCCCTGGTCTGGGAAGATCCCACATGCCGCGAGCAACTAAGCCCGTGCGCCACAGCTACTGAGCCTGCACGTCTGGAGCCTGTGCTCTGCAACAAGAGAGGCCGCGACAGCGAGAGGCCCGCGCACAGCGATGAAGAGTGGCCCCCCGCTTGCCGCAACTAGAGAAAGCCCTCGCACAGAAACGAAGACCCAACACAGCCAAAAATAAATAAATAAATTTATTTATAAAAAAGAAAAAGAAAAGAGTAGGTAGAGTAACTATGCTTTCTTATAAAAAAAAAGAAAAGAAAGAAAAGAGAGAAAAAATAAAGTGGGGGAGAAAGCACAGCCAAATTTTTAATAGGAAAATAGAATTGGAGAGGAAGAATATAGAGAGGACAATAGGAGAATTATGGACATATAAAAAGTCTGAGTGAGCTGGAACAAGCCAGAAAAGAGATGATGAAAAACTACCCAGAAACTAGCATGACACTGGGCCAAATAAGGAAAGAATGTCTGACGAAAGATGAAGCCCTTATGAGATATACGGTGTGAAATATAAACAAAAATATGTTGATAGTAAGTCTTATAGAAAACAGAATACAGGAACAGCCAGATAAGGGAAAACAAACAGATCTTGGACCCTGGAGAACCCCTGGCAAGTTTGGCAATTCTGTCTGTGTCCACAGAGTATCAACACGTCCAGGTGACAAGTGAGAAGTTGTGTCAGGCACTGGGACGTTTGGTCTATCTGATGCCAACAACTGGATTCTGAGCTTGGAAACATGTGGAACATGTGGCTGGCATGACTGAAGGAGATACAGGGTGTTATGAGGACACAATATATCCTGTGAAGCAGAGAAATTTCCAAATCCAGGACAAAGTGATTGTGCCTGTGTGCCATTTCTATTCCTGGTTGTTGGCACGTACTCCCTTCATTTTTGAGGTATTTAATGGGGGCCTAATATGTGCCTCAACCATTTTGCAAAATCTACCCCCTCTAGGTCACCGGATGATGGGTTCATCAAAGCCTGGTCAACAAGTGAGATGGGGTCAGTGGCAGTGACAAGCTCAGTGCTGGTTTGTAAGGTCCCCTGCCATACTCTGACTAGAGCCCCTCAGGAGTACAATGGAGGCCATAGCCTGCTTAGCAGGGAGACGCTCCCTCCCCCTGCCCCTTCTTGGATGGGGAAGACAGTAGCACCAGTAAAAAGGTCTCCCTGGCACCAAAGCAGATGGAAAGGCCATTCTCCAGCCTTGCCTTGGCCTGGCCACCTGAGCCGTGCCTTGCCTGTCCCTGGAGCCTGACCTAGGCCTGCCTTCTCCCCAGCTACCACCAAAACCCCCATACCTGCCACACCAGCTGCTGCCATTACTGTTGAGAGAGCCCAGAGCCACAGTCTGGGCATCAACCACGGTCTAAACTGCCTCTTTGAGGAAACATCAAACAAGGAATTCATTGCCAGGGCTACTGTGACAAAGTTCAACAGGCCGGGTGGCTTCAACAACAAAAATGTATTTTCCCACAGTCCTGGAGGCTGGAAGTCTGAGATCAAGGTGTCGGCAGGGTTGGTTTCTTCTCAGCCTCTCTCCGTGGCTTGCAGACAGACGGCCACCTTCTCACTGTGGCCTCACATGGTCTTTCCTTTATACATGTCTTTATCCAAATTTCCTCTTCTTATAAGGACATCAGTCATATTGCCTTGGAGCCCACCCTAATGACTTAATTTTAACTTAATTACCTCTTTAAAGGCCTTCTCTCCAAACACAGTCACATTCTGAGGTAGTGGGAGTTAGGACTTCAACATATGGATTTTGGGGGGACATGATTCAGCCCACAACAGAGAGACAATGGGAAGGGGTGGAGAGAGGGTGAGTGTTATTTTAATTGGTGTGGTCAGGGATCCCGTCTCCAGGGAGATGATACTGGAGCTGAGACGTAAACAGGGAGGAGGCGGCAGCCGTGTAAAGACCTGGGGAATGAGGGACCAACACGAACAACACTGAGAGCAGC